TCCCATAATGAAGGATGGCAACATATGCAAATCATAAAAAGTTCACCACATAAAGAATAAAAAAAAAATCATATGATCATCTCAATAAATGCAGAAAAGTCATTCATAAAATACAGCACCCAGCTGGGTGCAGTGGCTCACGCCTGTAATCCTAGCACTTCGAGAGGCCAAGGCGGAGGATCGCTTGAGGTCAGGAGTTTGAGACCAGCCTGAGCAAGAGTGAGAACCTGTCTCTACTAAAAATAGAAAGAAATTAGCTGGACAACTAAACATATATAGAAAAAAAATTAGCTGAGTGTGGTGGCACATGCCTGTAGTCCCAGCTACTCAGGAGGTGAGGCAGAAAGATTGCTTGAGCCCAGGAGTTTGAGGTTACTGTGAGCTAGGCTGACACCACAGCACTCTAGTCTGGGCAACAAGACGAGACTCTGTTCAAAAAAAATAATATATATATATATATGGCATCCCTTCATGATAAAAACCTATAACAGTTTAGGTATAGAAGGAATGTACCTCAAGATAATAAAAGCCATATATGACAAAACCACAGCCAACATCATATTGAATAGAAAAATGTTGAAAGCATTCTCCCTAAGGGCCAGAAGAAGACAAAGATGTCCAATTTCACCACTTCAATTCAACATACATAGTACTGGAAGTCCTAGCCAGATGAATTAGGCAAGAGAAAGTAATAAAGGGCATGCAAATTGGAAAACAAGAGGTTAAACTGTCCCTCTTGCTAATGATATGATCTTATATTTAACAAATCCTAAAGACTCCTCCAAAAGACTACTAGATTTGATAAATTCAGTAACATCTTAGATTACAAAATAAATGCATACAAATCAGAAACATTTCTATACACTAATAATAGCCAAGCTGAGAATCAATCAAGAACTCAATACTATTCACAATTGCTGCAAAAAAAAAAAAATAAAATACCTAGAAATATACTTAACCAAAGAGGTGAAAGTTCTCTATAAGGAGAACTAAAAAATACTGAAGAAAGAAATCATTAAGGACACAAACAAATAGAAAACCATCCCATCCTCATGGATTGAAAGAATCAATATTGTTAAAATGTTCATACTGCCCAAAGTGATTTACAGATTTAATGCAATTCCCATCAAAATATCAACATCATTTCTCACAGAATGTAACAAAATCTTAAATTTGCTATGGAATCAAAAAAGCATGTGACCAATATCCTTTATGAATATAGGTGCAAAACTTCTCAATAAAATCCTAGCAAATCTAATTCAGCTGCTCATCAAAAAAATAATCCATCATGACCAAGTGGGCTTCATTGCAGAGATCCAGGGATGGTTCACCATACACAAATCTATAAATTTAATTCACCACATAAGCAGAAGTAAAAATAAAGACCATATGATCCTCTCGATAGATGCAGAAAAAGCATTCAACAAAATTCAGCACCTTTTAATGGTAATACTTAACAAAACAGACATAGATGGGACTTAACTTAAAATGATAAAAGCCATATATAACAAACCATAGCCAAATTATACCAAAGCAGGAAAAATCAAAAGCATTTGTGCTTAGAACTGGAACCGGACAAGGTTGCCCTCTATCACCGCTTCTATTCAACATAGTGCTGGAAGTCCTAGCCAGAGCAATCAGACAAGAGAAGGAAATCAAGGGCATCCAAATGGGGGTAGAAGAGTCAAACTATCCTATTGCTCTTTGCTGATGATATGATCTTATATTATAAAACCACAAAGGTTGTGTCAAGAGACTACTGGAATTGATAAATAAGTTCAGCAAAGTCTCAGATTACAAAATCAATGTACACAAAGCAGTAGCATTCATATACACCAACAACATTCAAACTGAGAACCAAATCAAAGGCTCAATAGCTTTCATAATAGCAACAAAGAAAATAAAATACCTAGGAATATATTTAACTAAGGAGATGAAAGACCTCTATAGGTAGAACTATGAAACATTAAGGAAGGAAATAGCAGAGGACATAAACAGATGGAAGACCATACCATGCTCATGGATTAGTCGAATCAACATTGTTACAATGCCTATACTACCCAAAGTGGTCTGCAAATTCAATGCAATCACTATTAAAATACTAACATAATTCTTCACGGATCTAAAAAATAATTTTACACTTTGAAACAGAGAAGACTTCTATAGCTAAAGCAACCTTAAGCAAAAAGAACATATTGAGAGGCATCAATTTATCAGACCTCAAGCTATACTCTATACTACAAGGTTATAGCAACCAAAACTGCATGGTACTAGCACAAGAATAGAGACATAGACCAATGGAACAGGACTGAGAACCCAGATATAAAACCATCCTCATATAGCCATCTGATCTTTGACAAAGCAGACAAAAACATACAATGAATAAAAGAATCCCTATTCAATAAATGGTACTGGGAAAATTGGATTGCAACATGTAGAAGACTGAAACAGGATCCACACCTCTCACCTGTCACAAAAAATAAAATCATGGTGGATAACAGACTTAAACCTAATGCATGAAACAATGGAATTCTAGAAGATGTTGGAAAAACCCGTATAGACAATGACCTAGGCAAAGAATTTATGAAGAAGACCCCAAAAGCAATCATAGCATAAATAAAAATAAATAAATGGGATCTGATGAAATTAAAAAGCTTCTGCACAGCCAAAGAAACTATCACTAGAGCAAATAGACAACGTACAGAATGGGAGAAAATATCTGCATGCAATACTTCTGACAAAGAGGTAATAACTAGAATCTATATAGAACTCATAAAAATCAGCAAGAAAAAATCAAACAACCCCATTAGAAAGTGGGCAAAGGATATGAACAGAAACTTTTCAAAAGAAGACAGAATAATGGCCAATGGACACATGAAAAAATGCTCAACATCTCTAATCATCAGGGAAATGGAAATCAAAACCACAATGAGATATCACTTAGCTCCAATGAAAATGGCTTTTATCAAAAAGTCCCAAACAACAAATATTGGCATGGATGTGAAGAGATAGAAATACTCATACACTACTGGTGGAACTGCAAAGTAGTACAACCTCTGTGGAAAGTAATATGGAGATACCTCAAAGAGCTAAAAGTAGAACTACCATTTGATCCAGCAATTTCACTACTGGGCATCTACCCAAAGGGGAAAAGACATTCTATAATAAAGACATCTGCACTAGAATGTTAATAGCCACACAATTCACAATTGCAAAGACGTGGAAACAACCAAAGTGCCCATCAATACATGAGTGCATTAATGAAATGTGGTATATGTATACCATGGAGTTCTACTCAGCCACAAATAAACAATGGTGAACTAGCACTTCTTGTAGTATCCTGGATGGAGCTGGATCCCATTCTCTTAAGTGAAGTATCACAAGAATGGAAATACAAGCACCACATATACTCACCATCAAATTGGTACTAATTGACCAACACTTATGTGCACCTATGGAAGTAATATTCATCAGGTGTCAGGCAGGTGTGTGGGGGGGGGAGGAGATGGGTATATTCACACCAAATAGGTTCAGTGCACACTGTTGGGGGGCTAGGCATACTTGTATCTTTGACTCAGGTGGTCCGTAGGCAATATATGTAACCTAAGTATTCATACCCCTGTAATATTCTGAAATTTAAAAAATAAATTAATTAAAAATTTAAAAAAATATATAAAATAAACTAGATTATAGCTTTTTCCTTTTAGAGCTGCTAGTAACATCTGTCTCTATCTTTTAATTGTATTTTCTGTGATAACAGGAACTATGTATGTCTGCTTCTCAGTTATATATTCCCAGAAATTAGTATGGTACCTCGTACTTTATGGATACATACATAATGAGTATTTGTTGAATGAGTGGAATAAATCAATCACAGTGACAAACATACAAAAGAAAAAGAAAAAAGAAGCCCGAATATCCAAAATATAATACATATACACACACGTGCCATGGAATAATACTTAGCCATAAAAAAAGAATGAAGTAATGTCTTTTGCAGAAACTTGTGTGGAACTAGAGGTCATTATCCTAAGTGAAGTATTTCAGGAATAGAAAAAAAAATACCATACATACTCATTTATAAGTGGGAGTTAAATGATGGATATATGTGCCCACACAGAGTGGTATAATGGACTTTGGAGACTCAGAGGGTGGGAAGCAGGTAAGGGTCAAAAACTACCTATCAGGTACAATGTACACTATTCAAGTGATGAGTATAGTAAAAGCCCTGACTTCACCACTATAAAATTCATCCATGTAACAACAACAACAACAACAAAAAAAAACACTTGTACTCCCTAAATCTATTGAAATAAAATAAATAAGTAAATAAATAAATTATATCAACACATATACACACTAAATGAATTAACATAGCTATGACTCAGTTTTAGCCAACAGGTTCCTTGGAGAATTTGAGCCCAATGTTGTCAACTTTTTGCTTTTTTTTTTTTTAAAGAGAAACAGGAATACTATTTGAAACAATGATTTCAAAGTTGGCAACAATTTTGAAAAATAAAAGTGCATATGTTGAAAAAGATGCCTAAATTCACCCAGTTAGCCATTGGTTTGCAACCTCTAATTTAGGGTATTTAGATAGCACTGTCAATGATTCTTGCTTGCATCTTGGGGTTTATATAGTCTATTCCTGTGGACTCATCTTGATTGTACCCAAAGTACCTGCCATAGTGTCCTGCACATAAATGTATATTGAATAAATTAGTTGCATGGACATCTCCTTTTATAGTTATATTTCTTCACTGTTATTCAATGTAATGGTTGGCAAACATTTTGGTTTCATTCTTAGATTAGTTTCTGCTAAAGGTCTGCTATTAGTGTTTTCCAGCTGTTAAGTGTTGCTATTCTTAGTACTCTGCTTTAAGGGTTTTTTTTTTCCCAAATATTCTGTATGCATCATCCTGCTTGTGTCAGACATTGTAGACATTGGTCATCACACTCTTTCAACTGTCTTATCATCACTTTTGTTTTCTGGCACTAACCTTCTCTACAACATCACATTCCCAGTGCATGGAAAATGGTTTCACTGAGTGAGGACTAGTCCAAGATTTCTTCTTCACCATCAGAGCATCTTCCTTAAACTATACAGCATAATAACAGAGGTGAAGATGACTGTTTCTAACTTGTGTTCATTCTTTCAATTAACTGTAAGAAATAGAAAAAAAAAAGCGTTAAGAGCATACTTATGTGGCTGGTATGAAGAATAAAAGACAAGTTAAATACAAACTTTTATTTCAAGGCAAGTAAAGCAGATGGCAATAGTATAATGTAATGTGTGTTATAAAGAGAAGGAAACAGACATTTTACAAGAGAGGCACTTGGCCAAGTGGTTAAGAACACAGGTTCTGGAGCAGACTTTCCAGATTCCATGTTTGGCATGACTACTTGCCAGCTGTTCGGGCACACTATTTAATATCCTTGTGGCTTGGTTTTCTAATCTATAAAATGGAGTAGTAAAAGAATCTACTACATGATAGGATTGTTATAAGGACAGAACAAAATTAATATGTGTAAAATGCTTAGAACAGTATCTGGCATTAAGTAAGGACTCGATAAATGTTTTCTGTTACGACTACAGAAGACACACTTAACCCTGTGTGTGCGGTTGGCGTGTGGAAGTAGCCAGGTAAGGAGAAATAAAGTCAGAAAGAGTTTTCTTAGCTAATTATTGATTCGAGTCTTGAAGGTTTCCTCAACAAATATTTATTGGGTATGTACCAGGTAAGAGATATTTAAGTGTAAAGTAATAGGGATTGGAAAGATAGAAGGAAAACTTCCCAGGCAGTGTGAACAGCAGGTTCAAAGTGACAAAGATGTGAAAAGTCAAGGCAAGCTCTTAGAAGTACAGAGAGTTCGATGTGATGGAGAACAGGGTGAGAGCTGAGGAGGAACAAGAAATGACAAAAGACACAAGTGGAGGAGAGGGTGTCAGATTATAGGCAGTTTTCCATATCATATTGTGGCATTTGAAACATATAAACACTTCAAGGAGCTAAAGAAGGGCTTAAGTAGGGGAGTGATGTGAATCTAATCAGATTTATGTTCTTAAAACCTTACTCTGGTGGTAATATTTATCTGCACCAACTCAATTTTCTTTAGGAAGTGAGACCTGCCTCAAAACTCCTTATACTGAACAGGTGGGACAATTCTCCATGCAAACCAAGACTAATGGATTTGCAAATAAAAGCACTTAAAATTAAGAAGTGAACATAAGTCTTCCATATATGCAGTAAAAATAATACTTTGATTTGGAGCATGAGGTATTTATCACAAAAAGAAACATCTGATAATAGATGGTGTGCTCTGAAACAACCGACTTTACCTGGCCCTTCTGAATCTATCTCATATCCTTTGTGTGTCTCATTAATTTGTTTAACCAACAAACAGTTATAGTGCCAGACACTGTTTCAGGTGCTTGGGATACAATAGTGAACAAAAAAGGCAAAAGGATTCCTGCCTTCTGGAAGCTTGCATTTCCCTGGGATACAGACAATAAACACTGAACATACTAAGTAAATTACATGAAACATTAGGAGATAAGCATTATCAAATAAATGAAGCAGAGTAACAAAAATTGGGAAGGTCCATACATGACAGGAATTGAAAGAGGCTAAGACGTTATAAATGGATGATTTCAACAAGGAATGAAAGGAACTGAAAAGCCCGCTGCAACCTAAAATTCATGTGATAAAAGTGGGGGCAAAGTCCTATCGCTGCGCGCGCGCACACACACACACAGTTATACATGATTTATAAATCATATATAGGATTTATAAAGACTATGTAAGCCTAAACAATGTGATGTGGACAAGGCTTGAAAATGGGCTGGGCATTTCCTCCCCATTATTTCTACAATAAACAATTCTGAGGTATGGTGGTGATGGTATGTGCGGGCGTGTGTTGAACAGCAGCCTGCCAGAGCACTATTTTTCTACAAGCTGTCCTAGTAACAGCCCAAATCGCAGGAACCTCCATTTTTTTCCTTTCTACCACAAAAACAAACCAAACCCCTTCAACAACCTAATATCATAGAGTGGTGTCCTTCCTCACTAATCCTGGGCAGTTTCTGTAGTGCTGACTCCAAGGGAAGAATGCCACCTACCGAATAATCCGCACAGTTAACCAGTCCTGCAAAGTGCAACACTCAACCCGTGTCAGCTCCAAATCCCCTCCCTCTGATTATTCTTTGGCCTTAACAGCAACAAAAAAATTGCCACTATTTAGGCTGACAGGAAGTTATGCTCTCAGCGCAGATATCTGATAAACACTTCCACATATTGTAGCCTTCTCAATAGCTTAGCCAAGTTTCAGCGTCCACGCTCTGCCTGCATTTTCCTTAATTGCGCTTTCACGTTGGGCATGCTCAGGTCTCTGCAGCCTGCAGACAGCGGAAACACTGTTGCAAATGTGTGCAGGGGCTGCAGACCCGCGGCTGCAGAAGCCAGCCAGGGTTCCCCCGCAGGCTAGCGTTCGGGATTGCACCATAGGTCAGGAGAGGCTGTGGGCTTCCAAATCTGCACGGCCGGGCAACCTTGCAATGTGCAACTCCATCCCGAGTCCTCCGGAGTGGAGACGGGGTGGGGGTGGGGGTTCCCTCCGCAGTCCGCTGACAGCGAGGCAGGAATCACCGCTACTCCTCCGCTCAGAGTGAGGTCGCCACCGCTCCGCCGATGCACACTCTGCAGCGGCGCCTTCCCCGGTGGGTGCGGCGGGGAAAGGCATGGAGTTGGTGGGAGTGGGCAGGCCGGTGGGAGAGGCGCGTGCCCGTGCGCTAGAGGCCCTCGTGAGTGACTGGGCCGGATGAGCTCCTCCGGCCTGACCCACTCTGGGTCGGGGACTGAGACGGTCAGTCTGTCGCCTGTGCCCTAATAGATATGTGTATATAGACGAACATATGCCCGGCCAGGCGCGCCTCAGGCCCAGTCCGGGGCGCAGAGGGCCCAGGCCGGAGGAGGGCTGCAGGGGGCGGGTCCCGGTGCGGGGAGCCGGGCACCGAAGGGGCGGGCCCGAGGCGGGGCGGGCCGCGGCGCTGACTGGCGGTCCCGGCAGTGATCGCCTCCAGCCGGCGGTGCGGAGCGCAGGCGGAGGTACATGGCCCCGACGGGAGGCGCGCTGCCTGCTCCCGGAGCTCGGCTCCCTGGCTGAGCGCGGCGGCCGCGCCTAGGCCCGCGCGCCCTCGCCCCTCCGGCCGCGGCGCGCGGACATGACCGCGTAGCCTCCTCCTGGGCTGGGATTTGCTTGAAGATTTTCTTCATGGCAGCGATGTCTCCTCAGCAGGAGACTCTGGGAGGACAGCCGGGGCGTTCCTTTTCCCTGACAGGAGTGTCTCGGATCGCAGGAGACACCGGCACCAAGAAGGTGAGGCCTCTGAGCTGGGGCCCCGCGCCCGCCGCTGCCGCAGCCCCCACTCCCGCGCGCGCCCTCCGCGCTCGCCACAGCCACGCGCGAAGCGAGCGGCCCGCGGCGTTCGTTCGAGGACATTCCCGCATTCTCCTGCCCTTGACGACCGCGCGCTGCCGTCTCCCGCGTCGCTCCCGGTACATCCCGAGTCCCGGGAGTTATCCCGAGTTCTTCGTATCTTGAGTTTTATTTTTTCTCGGAAAAGACCCCGCAGCCTCCCACTCGGCCTCCATACGCCGCTGGAGCGGCAGCCCGGCTCCTCCCTTCGGGGGTAGCCCGGGCTGGAGTGGGTGCCGCCTTTCCCTGGTCCACCCGTGTACTCAGCCCTCGGGTCCCCCCGAGGTGGCCCGGGCGCGACTGCCCCTTGGCGGGGTCAGCTCCGAAGTCGTCAGGGCCGGCGGCGTCCGCCCGGAGCGGCAGCCCGCACTGATGGAGGTAGGCGGCTGGGCTGAGCCCGCTCACCTGGCCGGAGGCACGGCTGCTCCGCAGCAATTTTGGGGATGGTGGGTGGGGTTCCCGCGCCTGGGTCAAAAGTCCCCTCTCGACTCTGGGTCTCGGAGGTGGGGGTCAGAGGTACGCGATGCGAACCTTCGTCTCCATGGGAACAAGGAGGTTTGGCTGCGGCCTAGACCCGGGCTGGGTGGGCGTCGGTGGGCTGTGGCGGAGGGTGGCGAGGGCCGAGGCGGGGGCCTGGCCCTGCGCTCGTCCGCTGGCCCTGCGACTCCGGCCGGCTGGAGAGGGGTCGGGTGCCGGGGTGGCTGTGGGGGCGGCGCGTGTTCCTGTCAGAGCCGGGAGGAGGCATGCGGACAGCAACTTGTAGCGTTCGCTTCGCCTAAACACAGCCAGAGAGCGGTAGGAGGATTTTGATCGCCTCAGGTTTCTTTGGAAGGGTTCCCTGAACAAGTGCACCTGGGCCGCGAGCTGTTCAGCTCTCTGAGGAATTGATTTTGGTGTTTCTAGCCATGTCCGCCTACCTCCCAACACCTTATTCCCGCCCCCAGTATAAGATATTCCGATATTTGGCCATTTTTTCCTTGCGGTAGTGGTGCCCTTGCAGCTTCTCTGGAAACTAGTTGCGATTGGAGGGATCATCTAGCCCTTCCTTGGGAAATAACCTCAACGTGTTGCATTTATATCGTTAGAGACTTAAAGGGTTATGTCAGGTTCCCTGCTTGTCCTGCTTTTACTGCCTTTCCTAAATCTTCCCACCAGGACCTTAGGTTGGCTAGAGGGCAGTTGAAGAGAGGTGAGATCCCTGCGCAGGGCGTAGAAGTGTCTGTGAGCTTCCCAGAACCTTGGCTGTGTGGCAGAGCCATCTAGGGGCGTCCGTGAACTTGATGATGTATGGGCTGTAGTGCCGGCTCATCCTTTGATGTATTGAGGCTGCGGTTTGTCCTTGTCACTCGCTTTTCCCCTTCAGAGATGGCGGGAGTGTGTGCTTGTTTCTGTGTGTGTAGTCAAGTCTTCACAATTAAAACGTGAATTTATCATATTAGTGCTACATTTGGGGAGGTAAATGAATGTTCAGTAACTAATACAGATTTTAAAGCTTTTTAAAAAAAATTTTGTAGACTTAAGAAATTAGAAAAAAAAAATCAAAGATTTATTTTCCTGAACAGTTTTCTTCCTCTTCCACTAAGGGTAATTAAGCATGCAGGCGAAAGGAGGAAGCAGTAAAGAACAGCTTTATCATTTATGGAGCAGTACTTGCCCAGGAAATAAAGGGTTCCTCTGCTCTTTTCCACATTCTTTTTATTCAGGATAGCTGTTGTCCCTAAGATTCTGTCTTTCATTATGAAACAGAATGGGCTCACACATTACCAAACCAGTATCTACCTTCCCAAGATTGTTGGGAAAAATAAATGTGAAATTGAGTGGATAATGACATATAATAGGTACTCAATAAATGTTAGCACTTACTGTTTGTAATTTCGCCATATTTGTAATTCATACCATTGTGTCCCAGTTGTTCAAACCAAAAATGTAGGGTTCATTTTCAACTCCCCATTTTCTCACTCTGCAACAACCCAATCCATAAGAAAAGCTACTAACACTCAAAACATTATGTTGAATTTCTCCATTTCATCTCCACTGCTGCCACTGTAGTCCAAGCCAAGCCGTCACCATCTCTCACTTATACCTTTGATGAAACTCCTTAACTTGTCTACCACCTTTCTTGCCCTTCTATGACCCAGTCTCCAGTTAGCAGCACCAGAATAATCCTTAAAAATGTAAATTAATCATGCTGCTCACCTGCTTAAAAATCTTGCATTGGCTTTCCATCACATTGACAATAAACTTCAGACCCCATTTCTTGGCCCTGTCTACTTCTCCCACCTCAGCTACCTTTTCCTCCTTGTTTGTATATTCTTGAGGCACATGGGCCTTCCTTTTCACACAAGTGATCAAATTGATTCCTACTTTGAAGCCTTGGTGTTTCCCTCTGCTTCTGCCCCAGGTCATTGCAGCATTGACTCATATTGTTCAGATCCAGAGACCTGTCCTAACTACCTAAATGGAAGCCACCCTCCTCAGTTATACTCTATACCTTCTGCTTTATTTTCATCTTAGCATTCATCCTTGCCTGATATTTTCTTATTTACTTGTCACCCACATCCTTCACCAGATTGTGAAAACCACGAGAATAGGGATCTTATAGGGATCTTATCTATATAGTTCAAGGCTGCCTCCCCAGTACCTAGAACAGTGCCTGCTACATATTAGGTGTTTCATAAATATCAGTTGGTTATGTACAACAGTGAACAGGACAGGCATAGGCCCTGTCATCAGAATTATGGTTTAAAGCAGGATTAGCAAACTTTTTCTTACAGGAACAGATAGTAAATATGTAAGGTTTGTAAATTAGTCTCTGTTGTAGCTAGACAGCTCTGCCATCGTAGCACTACAACAGCCATGGACAATATTTAAATGAATGATCATAGCTGTGTTGCAATAAAACTTTATTTAGACAAACAAGTGGTAGGCCCCTGTTGTGTAGATTCCTGACCCCTGGTCTAGAGTAGTGCTATTGAATGGAACTGTGTGCAATGATGGAGCTTTTCTTTATCTACAATGTGCGATTCAGTAGTCACCAGGTACATGTGGCTATTGAACTCTTGAAAAGTGGTTGGTACAACTGAGAAACTAAATTTTTTTTTGAGACTGGGTTTCACTCTGAACTACAGTGCAGTAGTGTCATCATAGCACACTGCAGCCTCAAACTCCTGGGCTCAAGCATCCACCTGCCTCAGCCTCCTGAGTAGCTGAGACTACAGGCATGCACCACCACTCCTGGCTAATTTTTCTCTTTTTTTTTGTAGAAGTAAGGTCTCACTGTGTTGCTCAGGCTGGTCTCTAACCTCTGGCCTCAAGTGATCTTTCTACCTGGGCCTCTCAAAGTGCTAGGATTACAGGTGTGAGCCACTGCATCCAGCCTCCCCCCAAAATTTTTAACAGCTTCATTGAGGAATAATTGACACATAATAAACTGCACATATTTAAAGTTTATAAATCTGTTAAGTTTTGACATACATATATACACACATACATACACACCTGTGAAACCATCTGTGCAATCAAGGTAATGAACATATTCATCATGCCTAAGAGTTTCTTCATGTTTCTTTATAATCCATCCATTCTCTTCCCATTCCCAGACAACCACTAGTCCGTTTTCTGTCACTCTAGGTTAATTTGCATATTGAATAATTTTAACCACATGAATATATACAAATAAATAGGAAAAATTGTATATAAATGTAATCATACTTTATATTTTTTTGGTCTGGCTTGTTTCATTCAATGTGATTATTTTGAGATTCATCCATGGTTTTGTATATAATCAGCAATTCATTGCTGAATAGTATTCCATCATATGGTTAGCCCACAGTTTGTTTATCCATTCACCTATTAGTGAGCATTTAGATAATTTCCAGTTTTAGGCTATTACAAATAAAGCTGCCATGAACATTTGTGTAGAAGTCTTTGCATGGACTTATGCTTTTATTTCTTTTGGGTAAATCCTTAGATGGGGAACGGGTGGGTCATACTTTATGTATATGTTTAGCTTTTTAAGAAACTATCCAATTGTTTTTTCCAAAGTGATTTTATACTCTCCCTGGATGTTTATGATGTCGATTTGTCCACATTGTCACCAACACTTTGTATTATATATCTTTTTAATTGTAGTCATTTTAGAGGGTATAAGTTGGTATCTGATGGTTTTGATTTGCATTTCCTTAATGACTAATGATGTTGAACATCTCTGTATGTGCTTATTTGCCATCCAAATATTATTTATCTTGATGAAGTGCATATCCAGATATTTTGCCCAATTTTAATTGGATTGTTAGCTTTCTTACTTGAGTTTTGAGAGTTACTTATATATTTTGGATTAAAGTCTATTATCAGATATGTAATTTGCAAATGTTTTCTCTTAGTCTGTGATATGTCTTTTTACTCTTAACAATAGCTTTTAAGGAACAGTTCTTCATTTTTGTAAGATCCAATTTGACAGTTTATTTCTTTAATTTCCTTAATTATAACTAATTTGAATTTAAATTTAAATAGCCACATGTGTCTAGTGGTTACTGTATTGGACAGCACAGGTCAGAGGAAGAGACAAAGACAATAATAATAAAAAATGGCGATAACTGTTGTTAAAGAAACAAACCTGACCCAGATTTAGATAAACGAGGTTGTTGAGCTGAACCACTCTGCATTAGGGTGTTCAGGGAAGGCTCTTTTAAGTGACCCTTAACTCTTTTGTGGGTGAACAGAGTATGCTGTTAAAAGATTCCAAGAAGTGGGAGCTTTAAGTTCAAAGGTCCTGAGGCAGGTGTGTTTGAGGAGCTAGTTTTTAGATGCTGTACAAGAAGTCAATCTCCATTTTGTAGCCACATTTATTATTCTAACCTCAAACAGAATTGCCTAGCTGGAATGCTCACCTTTATTTGCTACTCAGAAGATTTCACCAGTTCCAAAAATCAAATCCACTCTCAGAGGACAAAAATTTTCTATCACTGAAGCTCTTCAAAAGAATATACAATAAATTTGTATAATAATTGCTAAAAATAGGATTCTAAAATAGCACATAAATAAAGCATAGATAAAGCTTTAAGTTCTTCTGGAATAATGCATCCTTGAGGATATCCACATTTGCACCAAACAGTTTTAATGAAATAGAATCTCTTATTAGAATCATTTCAGTTATGGATGATTTGTGTCAGACTCAACACACCCAAATCCTTTGGTTTAACATACAAATGTAAGACTCTTTAAATAGGATGAGAGGATAGGGGAGAGAGACTTATAGGCATGGAAAGCCAGTCAAGGGAAAATAAATTTAAAATAGTTCCAACATTTTAAAATGTAGCAGCTGCTGTTGTAAACTCCATTCTGCCTTTTCTTTCTCCATTCTCTGGGTCCAAATCTGTTTATAGCACCTCATGGTAGAACACTCCCAAGAGCTGACTTTGGCCATATTTGTGTGTCTTTTACTCAGTTAAGTGAAACAACCTAGTGAGTAAGCTTTAGCTCTTCGATACTGAGAAAAAATATTATCCTACTGAATCCTTCTCTGATGTTATTCACAAAGTGAATTGCATAAAATTAGATACATAAGATTTTTTTGGCAGGGAAACTCCTGAAATTATCAAAACTATTAAGTTAATTATGGATGGCCTCTGTTATTACTCTTGTAACCTCTGAACTTCCTTGTTTCTTTGCCTGTAAAATGGAGGTAATCTATATCTTGTATATCTCATGAGGTTTTTTTAACAAGTCAAATGAAGGTGTATGAAAACACTTTCAAAAAAAGTACATAAGTCATTAGTATATCTAACCAAGTGAGAGTAGGTGTAAAGCAAAAAAGTTTGATTTTTAAAAATTTAACATTAATACATGTATATGAATGAATGCTATCCTTCAAAGCAATTACCACTGGAAGCAATAGGTATCAAATATGAGGCAGAAACTCGAGCAAAAAGACAAGAGTTGGCTATAATTTATGGAAGAGTAAAGAAAATTTTAAAAACCTCTTTAAGTGAATGCCTAACTAATAATATACATCAATTATATGAAGTAGGCATTAACTTTTTCTTACAGAAGAAGAAACAGAGCTGGAATTTGAACCCAGATCTTCCAACTCCATTTCTCTTTTCATCTAGACTAAAGCTGCATTTGCTATTGTTTATAACATAAGATGAAGGAGAGAATAGATTTGAATTATGTATAACCAGCTGAGAAAAGCAGAGGCTTTGAGGGGCTTTCCTCCTGAAAGGGGATTACACTCTCTGGGGAGCAGAGTTTATACACCTCTCTATCTACTATCAAATGTTATGTTCATTGCTGCCTTTAGATAAATGTTAGGTAAACATTGACTAATAGTGACAATCAGTGATACAATCACTGGTCTAATTACTTTGGTACTTTCATGATTTTTATGCCTTGGTTTCTGTCATTTTCAGATGTTTTGTATAAGGCAGACAGATGTATTTCAGGATCTCTCCAGCCAGGCCTCATCTCCATGCTCATACCTCAGTCTTGGCTTGCTGTTGGAAATCTTGGCATATCCTCCAGACAAACTTGTATGGCAGTATTTCAAAGTTACATATGGATGCACTGAATCCAATGCTTCATATGATTCTGCTATGGAAAATTATGTGTTTAGGAAACTCAATTCAGCAAACTTTTATATCACATATCTTGAGTCCAGGAAAAGTCTTATGTCCATAGTTATTCTTACTTCAAATAACACCACAATGCATTTTAACATCGCAAAAGAAAAATTAACTTTTTGTGAGTTTAAAATTTATATATTAGAACAGAATATAGCTTTCATAACTTATAAGTTAAGGACAATATTTTATTTTTATACATGTCTAAACAGTAATTATTAATTTTGAAGAGTGAGTCCCCTAAGTTAAAATAGACAGCTGTAACTGATAGACTGAAAATTCACAAGTCACGGATACCTAAATAGTTAGTGCAGTTGTTGCTTTTAGTTCTGAGGTGAAGATTGTCATGAAGCAATTTATCATTCTCTTGTGCCTTTGGCATTGTCCTGGGTTATGATTTGGTGAAAGGTCTGCAGGACAAAAAGTGGAACATGTTTAGTAGACTGAGGAGAAGTGAGAAAACTGATGTATCCACAGAAAATGAAATCCTCTACAGTCAATAACTTAGGTGTCTGAATTCTTTCACAGTTCTTACCCTTCTATCCAGAACTTGGTGGCTATTCTTTTCAAAGTAGAGGCATCCTGTGCCCTATGGGACCACATGCAGCTTACCAAAACTGTGTAGTTATAAAACTTGCCTTTTTGGAAGGTATGTATAGCTGAAAATATGCTAGATTTCAACTTGAATTGCCACTAAAACAAACTGTATAAAATGTCACAAACAATAGGTATATAATATCAAGTTTATTTATGTGTATGTACATACACTCATATATACACTTGTATAATATACACAGTGCTTTCATGAAATACATGTATATATTATCATTGTGATTCAATGGAGTTTCATGAGTCATACCCCTCATGTCTCCAGAGCATTTGGTAAGAACCTCTAAAATAAACCTTCAGTGAAGGAAACGTTTGCTTTCCTGTTCATTTTGGTAGTATCTCAAGTGTTGGGGATCGCAGGGATGCTGGAGGTTCTATTGTGTGTAGAAAGCCTGTAGACAGAATGCTCAATTTGGTTGTGGCAACTGCAGCACTTTTTTGAAGCAAGCTAGGATAGTGGTGATCTTTAGCTTTTGTTTACTTAAGGGAGACTCTGCTACAATTAATTGCCTTATTTGAGCTACCAATAATGGAGCTTGTAGGCAACATACCCTAGTTTATTTTATAATTTTGTTTCAGTCTTATTTTTTTAATCTAGGACAAGCTTAGATTAGAAACATCCAACTGGCAGCAGAAATAGCCCCATCAGCACTGTAGGTCAGTGGTGTGCTGAGCAGCCTTGACCTAATTTTGACAGACACCTGTCACATGGCACAACTGAAATGTAAAACCTGTTTTTGGATGTCTGGTCACTTATGTGTGGACTCTGAAAATGGAATGTATGTGTGCTCACATCAGCTCACATATCAAAGATCTGGAAAACCCAGCTGCTGTGTGGCCTTTTGCTTTCCTTATTTACCTGAATCCTAACTGACACCTAGGGGAATGTTTGTATTCCCTCTCCTACCTCTGCATTCACCCTCTTGAACCTCAGCTTTAAGAGTAGCCATTACCAGGTGACACTATGTCTAAATCTAGATAGACTTGGATCTGTTTTTTATTCTCATTTGATACACTGTTTTGTTTTTTTTTCTTTTTTTACCATTAGGTTTTTAGATTTGATCACAGTACTTTTCCTCTCTTCCTGAAGAAAATGAAGGTGCTCAGACCAATTCTGGTTGGGATTATTTATGAGTAAATAGAAGATTATACTTATTACAGACCAAACTGACAGTAGCAGGAAGCTTTAGCATATCCAGTGGTCAAAACTTTGTTGTGATAATAAGACCCAGAAGCAAGGTGCAAGGTTAAAAGTAATTCTCTTTTTCCCTTGCAGAGCCAGTGTCTTGGAAGTATGAAGGTTCAGTGGCTTGGGTATGTCTCCACAAGTAAATGCTACAGGCATGTAGGGAAAGCAAGCAAGAAAGAATTTATTGCTTACTAAATTGCACGGACTAGCCACAAATTAGAATAAGCTAATTTGTAAATTTGATTAAATATTCTTTTCTAAGCTTGAAAATTTGAAGTTATTTAAAAGCTTTCCAGAAGGCCCTTATTTTAATTACATGTTTATTTTAAATGCTTCACCATTTCACTTAAATTCAACTGAAATGTTTGCATTTTTTTCCTAATAAAGTAGAACCAAAAAAATTGCATGAAAAATTATAGTTTACCTCTGATTTAAATCTTTCATCCTGTTCCTTTCTTTTTATATGCTTTATTTTCCTCTAATCTCCGTGAGAACTAAGAATGACCAGATTCAGAGTGATTTAGAGATCCCCAAAATAGTACTGTATCTCTTGGTTGACATGAAGTTAAAATTCCAGTGAGTGTCTACATACAGGTTTTTATATATAAAAAATGTTTTCTGCATTGTTGAAAATAAAACCAAACCTTTTTCTTTCTTCAGTTACCTGTTTATACATTCATTTTCCTACATAGGCACACTTGTGTTACCACCTTAAACTCTCTGAGATAGGTGATGTTAATTCATTCACTTACAAAACAACTATTGAGAATTTCCTCTGTGAAAACCTTATATAGGTCACTGGAGGAGTAGGGGAGGAATGGTGGCATATCATAATAGGCAGGTGGGCAGATTGCTCAGATCCCTGAAGAATTCAAATGAAGAGCTGCTGAAACTTTTTGCACAAAAATATATTGGGCAAAAAGCAAATAATTTCCCATTTTCACATTGAGAATGCAAAGATATGCTTGTTACTGAATGAGTTTCATTAGTTGTTTTGTGTTATAAGAAAGAAGAAAATTATAGCTTCTGACTATGTACCAGTTTGCTAGAATAGAGCCAGTGGTGTAGTAGTTTGATAGTTAGCTTTGTTTTTGTTTTTAACAAATAAAAATATAATTCACATACCATACACTTCACCCACTTAAAGTGTACAGTTCAGTGGCATTTAATGTAGTCATAGAAGTCATAGTGCATTCATCAACATAATCAATTTTAGAATATATTAATTACCTCAAAAAAAAATACCACACCCTTAGCCATCATACCCCAATACCCCCAAACCCTAGGTAAGCACTAATCTACTTTAAGTCTCTATACATTTGCTTATTCTGGACAGTATAGAAATGGAATCATATTATATATGGTCTTTTGTAAGGGTTTCTTTAAATTAGCATAATGTTTTCAATGTTTATCCATGTTGTAGCATATATAGGTACTTCATTTCTTTTTATTGCCAAGTAATATTTCATTGTATAGATATATGACATTTTGCTTCTCCATTCATCAGTTGATGGACATTGGTTTTGTTGCCACTCTTTGAGTATTATGAATAATGCTGCTCTAAACATTCATGTCCAAGTCTTTGTGTAGACATATGGTTTCATTTTTCTTGGATATGTACCTAGGAGTGGAATTGCAGGATCATATGGTAACTCTATGTTTAACCACTTGAGTAACTGCCAAACTGTTTCCAAAGTGGCTGTGCTGTTATACATTCACACCAGTAAAAGAGTCCAATTTTTCTACATCCTCACACTTGTTATCTATCTTTATATTATAGTCATCCTAATGTGTGTATCTCATTGTGGTTTTGATTTGCATTTTGCTGATGGCTAATGATGTTGAGCATTTTTTACTGTGCTTATTGGCTATTTGTATACCTTCTTAGGAGAACTGTATATTCAAATTATTTGCCCATTTTTTAATTGGGTAATTTGCCTCTATTGAGTTGTAATATGAATACAAGTCACTTATCAGATATATGATTTGCAAAAGTTTTCTCCCATTCTATGGGCTGTCTTCATTCTCTTAATGGTGTCTTTTGAAACACAGAAGTTTTAAATCTTGAATATGCCTAATTTGTCTTGATTTTTTTGTTGTTGCTTGTATTTTTTGTGTGATATCTAAGAAACCATTGCCTTATCCAAAAGTGACAAATATTTAGGCCTATGTTTTCTGTTAAGATTTTTGTAATTTTAGCTCTTACATTTAGGTCTTTGATCCATTTTGAGTTAATTTTTGGTATATGGTATGAGGTAGGAGTCCAACTTTATCCTTTTGCATGTGGATATACAGTTATCGCAAAACCATTTGTTGACAAATGGTTGTTGACAAACCATTTGTTGACAAATTGTTGACAAATGGTTTACTTTATCATCAGAGAGATGTTTAGTATGTAACTCAAAGTGATATACATCAACACTGTTCAAAAGATGGAGTTTCAGTGTATAGATATGACTCTGACCATCTAAGTCCATAGCAAATTACTAGATGTCATCTACTCTTTATGAGGTCATCTAGATATGAATATCAAGCACTTGAAAATTCTGAAAAAATATATTTTAAGCTGACAAAGAAAATACACTGTACATTGTTTGAAATTTACCTTGTTTCCTGTGAGGCAAAGAATCATAGTTATTCCTGTCACAGAACAACCGTGCAATTTGTTGGTGCTGGGATAAGCATAACTTCAGCCTGTCCTGACAAGTTTGTATTATTATACATTTGTAAAGGAATAAATAGTCTCATTCTATTTCAGTGTATTGTATTTCATGTCATTGTTATGTGCAAGAAGAAAATACAAGTCTTTATTGCCTGAGAACAGATTCTTTAATACATCAATGAATTTGTTTTAGAGTTACCATTGGCTCTTTGTTTAGCTACATTGAGCAAAAGAAAGAGATCTGTGTATTTTGAATCAACTGATACCTAAATCTATTTATGAAGCCCCAGATTATATTGGCTGCTCTTAATACTTTCTATTACTTAAAGAGAATTGAATCCTAAATGCATGATACATGTAATGTTTATTTTCCTGTATAAACAGGGTGAATCTTTGGTAGACACTTAATATGGGAACATGAGAGACAGAAGGGACATAGAGACTATGTAGTCCAAATTTTCTCATTTTGTAGGTAAGGAAAAGTGACCCAAAAAGTGACTGAATTGCCTTGGGTTGTTTATCTCATTAGTGGTAGAGTAAGTCTGAGTACAGACAATAGGACCTCAAGTAAAAACAATATTCTGCCTGTAGTTTAATTGAATTCTCTTCCATAAGAATCCAACTGGATGAGGTGTGGATATTTAGCATTTGACCCTTTATACATCTGACAGTTATATAACTCAAAAAATCCTGTCTAATCATTGTATATACAAATGGTCTTCTACATGAGATTTTCATGAAAAATTCGTATTTTAAAAACACCTTTTCAGAAGAAAATTTATCATCCTTCTTTATTCATTCTCATGTTTAACTGCTATCACTCTCAGAAAGATTTTCTTACATTTGAAAGTTTCTTAATTTGGGAACCATGAATCCCTAAGAAATCCATTTTGTGGTGGTTTCTGAACCTCTGAAATTCTATGCAAAGTTTAGTTCACAACTGTTGAAAATTTCTCAAAGAACCACTACCCAAAGTTAACCTGGATTCTCTTTCTGCAGCTTAATCCACTTCTTTTTGCCTTATCCTCCTTGGAAGATATTTACTCCTCTTTATATTATAGCTCTGCATTAATTTGGAAATCATTACTATTTCCAAATGAAGAATCTCAGATCATTTTAACTTTTTTCATGGGCTCTTTCTTTTCTCCACATTTTAAATAATTTTCTGGCTGTCTTTTGAACCCTTCCAAATTCTTCATAAACCTGAAAGCCAAGGAGCTCAGAATTAGAAATCATATACTAACGAAGCTCTAGTTTAGAATCTTGTATCTGCTGACAGTGACATCAGAGGGTAAGGGGAAGCAGATGCAAAGCTGGGGAGGTCCTGAATAAAGGGAATCAGGGTAGAAATTATGAATCAAGGCCAGGTCTGAAGGTGAAACAATCCTTCAAACAATCTGGAACATAGCTTGATGTGTATGAACGAACTGCCACCTTTCTTAGAAAAATCGATAGTCTTCCAGGATTGAGACTCTTCATGTGGGGAGGTGCCACTCTCCCTTGCAATACAGATACTTGCCTCCCAGATTTCCTTTCTCTTTGCAACCTCTGCAGTCACATTAGCCTAAGATGTTAGGTTACTGAGGGTTATGTTCCTAAGAGGTGTGAGTAAGGAAGATGGGATGGGGAACCTGTGGCCTCAAGGCCAGGTGTGGCCATCCAGATCCCCGAGTGCAGCAGCTCAACCAAATCCAAACTTCACAGAACAAATCCCTTTATTAAAAGGATTTTTCCTGTAAAATTTGGATTCAGTCAAAAGGCTGCACTCGGGGATCTGGAAGGCCACACGTGGTCCCGAGGCTACAGGTTCCCCACCCCACTGATAGCAACAAATACAAATATAAATACACATCATGCAAAAAATTGTTATGCAAATAACTTGGCCTGAAACTGATTCATGGTTAATATCTCCTAGATGAGATGTCTGATATTCTCTATCTTTAACCTGTTTGTTTCCTATGCTTTATTAATGTTTTATCTAATTATTTTATTTGCTGTTTCAGTTGTGCTAAGGAGATTTGGGCATAAAATTTTCCAAGTGTGAACCAAAAGATTAATGAGGGTAACAGCAACACTGAGGCCAGAGCAGTTCTAACAACAATAATTTGAGACAGATCCCTAGATGAATTTGTGGGATACAAATTGTGCCAAAGAAGTGAGAGAAGAATAAGAGCATATAGTGAGAATAGCTTTGGTGATACAGCCTAAACTACACTCATGGCTGTTTGTGATTGATTGTCAGTTTAACTCATGTGTCTCTAGTGGCTGTTTTTAGAGGTGTTAAATATAAAAGGTTGAATTTAAAGAGTAATTATCTGGATAATTCAAGTTGAATAAAACCTCATTTGCCACAAATTTTAAGTCAATGGAAACAGAGTACCTGAATTATATTTATATACCACCTAGAAAAAAGTTACAACAAAAAAATAAAAATCTATTTTGAAGGAGGGATTCCCAAATGTGTAAAAATTTAAATTTAAAACAAAATTTAAAGGTTGATTAAATGTTTATATAAGAACTAGTCTCTGTACCTTTGCTTTAACTGTTTTTTTTTCCTCCCTTTTAACTTGTTTTTCCTTGAAGGCTAGTTTGAGCCCTAGCCTGCCTATGAAATAGAGTAGTACCTACTCTGATGACACTTTGGGGTATAAATAAAAGAATCCATATCCAGCCATTAGCATAGAGCTGGACACATAACCAGCAATAATAAGAGTTAGGATGGTGTTTTTCCTAAACACTCTGATTAACATTTAACCTCTTTATTCTCTGACCATAAAAAAAAAAAAAAAACCACTACCTACACCACTTTTTAACACTTACTATCCTATCTTTTTAACTTTTCTATTTTAGATGTTATAGTTTTATCTACATAATGAAATTGTGTAGGCTCCTTGATAGGCAAAGATGGACAATACAAAACCTGTTGAATTGAATTGAAAATCAACATTTACTTACCTTAGAAGCCACGTGGTTTTCATGTATGTATTTATTTATTTATTTATTTTTCCCTCAACAGAAAATGAAAGCATTAGTAGAAAGGAGGAGAAGTGCTCCATCTCTTCTCCTGGATAAAGCCCTGCAAAAACAGCCTACAACCAGCAGGTAAGTGCAAGGCTTTTTACTACACGTTTGGTATGTGCATGCAACTTTATATTACATAAAGAGTTTTACAGATCATATTTTTTTATGTGTGGGTGTTGTTTGCTTTCCATTAGCACCAGCATTCTCTGTTTAATAATAGAAAATATGACTTCTGTTATGAGGTTTTTAATAAGACTTACTCTTTGTGGGAATCACAAAGCCTTTTAGAGCTGGTGTGTATGCTCAGTTGGTTTAAAACTGATTCAAAAGTGAATCTCACATCACAAAGTATGCAAACATACAGATTCTACATTTTATCAAAATTTATTTGTAGAAACAATTAGAAAGCAGAATACTGAATGTTTTGTTATGCATAAAATTTTTCTTATTTTTTATCATAAGGTGATGCCTATGCATGGATAAGGTAATTTTTTAATCAATTTTAGATATGAAGGAAGATAAAAACATTAAGATTATAAAAAATGGAATATTGATTTCTTTTAGGCATTATTGGCTAAATTAGTGAAATTTGAAGTGGAAAATCAGGCTAAATACCTAGTAAAGTGGCCATTTCACCTATTGTGACTAATTACTATTTCAGTGGACATTTTACGGGTCTTTCATAATGTGTAGAAATTGAATGGATATGCAATCATTCATTCATTCATTTTTAAATAGCATTTTAACTCATAGGACTTTTTATGTTCAAAGGAGTTCTGTGATGACTTTCTTCTAAGCTGTGAATCCTTTTATATAAAGTGAAGTCCTCATCTTTATTTAAAGTAAGGACATATCTATAACTATGATATTTCTATGAATGTGTTAATTTAACATAAAAATCTATATGAAAAGATATGGAAACTTTCTAGTGCTGAAATAGATTCTATATCCAAACCTCACTTAGTGAAACTTATCAAAATACTTAGGTCACTTTCTTCTCAGTACTCAGCAAGTTCTTTCAGACTAAGTACTCTTTCCAACATGTTCCGAAAATACATATGCTTTAATCATTGGGTTAATTAGGAATGTAAACTCCTTTTAATAGATGCCTAATGAAAATTTAATTAGGAAGATAGTCTTCCAAATAAAAATATAATAATATATTTCAGTGTCATATATAAATGACTTTTGAATTGTTTGCATCAGTGTGTTTTTGCATTAGTGTGGATAAAAAAGAATGGTTATATCTTCACAGTTTAACCCTGATTACCTAGAAAACCCAGGGGAAAGAATTTGGGGGGGGGGTAGATAGATGAAGCAGAATTATCAGTACAATTGTATTTCTCTTCTATAGGAATAAAAATAATTTTATTGTTCCCTTTTTTTAACAGATAACCAGTTTTAGGTAAAATTCCTTATTAAAAGATTCTGGGTTTGAAGTGTGCTCAGATTTTCAATTAAAAGTAGTCCTCATATCAAGGAAACTTTAGCCTGAGATCAGGGACCAGTAAACATCCTCCTAACCCTGGGTGAGAATCTGTAATAGTATGCATGTAGGTACTGAAAGTTCATGTACCAGCCATTCTACCTCTGGGTATGTAACTATAAGAATTGAAGTCAGGGATTGGAATAGGTATTTGTAAATCCATTTTCATAGCAGCATTATTCACCACAATCAAAATGTAAAAATGAATGGATAAATAAATTGTGGTATATACATACAATGCTATATTATTTAGGCTTAAAAACAAGGAAAATTTTGTCATATGCTACAACATGGATGAACATTGAAGACATGCTAAATGAAATAAGCCACTTACAAAAGGATGAATACTGTATAATTCCATATTTATGAGATGACTAGAATAGCCAAATTCATAGCCATGGAAAGTAGAATACTGGTTGCCTGGAGCAGGGTGGAGAGGGAATAGGGAGCAGGGATTGGGGAGTTATTGTATAATGAGTCTGAAGTTACAGTTTAGGATGGTGAAAAATGTTCTGAAGATAGATGGTAATGATGGTTTTACAAAAATATGAGTGTACTTAATGCCACTAGACTGTTTACTTGAAAATGGCTAAAATGATAACTCTTATGCTATATATAATTTTTCTATAATATAAACAAGTTTAGAATAACTTTCCTTTCCATGCAAGAAAAAACAAACTTCCAATACAATGTTTTGTCCTGTCTGATATGATCAGTCTTTATTTATCATTCTAATCATCCTACTATAGCAAAAGTGGAAATAAGCACTTTTGTAAAACCCCAGAAAATAAAGTGTATGCCAAAAAGAAAAAAAAGCTTCATATAGACCTGTGGTTCTCAATGGAGTGGTAAGAACCTCTGGGAGGCACTTGGGAATTTTGTGGGAATCTGTGAGTTTTTCTGGGAATTAAAATAAATGTATATGTATAGACTTTTATGTAACAAAGGGGCATTGGGTCTAATAGAATCAAGAACCACTGATGTAGATGAATTGCTACGCTAGAGAAAAATGCTAACAATTTGACTTGATGAGAAATGCCACTTATGATGGTTTTAGGTTACAGAACCAATATAATGATATATAACTATACCCCTCCTAAGACTGTCTCCCTGTCCAACTTTGCAATAATTGGTGCTTACTTTAGAGCCAGTTCCCCAAGTTCCTATTTTATTAGTAGCAAAATATGATGGATTTTGTGTCAAAATAACCATAATAAAAAAAGTTTAAGTTAAAGTTTACATGTTTTAATCTTCAGTTTATTTCCTATGAGTTTCTCTAGGTCAATAATATGAGTGCGTAGTGCCAGGGAACAGAACCTTCACATGCCTTATAGAAATGATGCTTTTATTCTGTGTAGCTATTAGTGGTTAGATTCTGAAGGTATACAAAATATTTGTAAGTAATAAAATCTCAGGATTGGGAAAGAACCTTAAAGAACCTCTAGTCTGGTGGTTTTTAAACCTTTCTAATTCAGTACTCTACAGTGGGACCCAGCCATCTGCATATTTTTCAAAAACTCTCCCTAGTTGATTCTGATGCACTCCTTTTTTTTTCATTCTGGTAGGAACACTTAACATGAGATCTATCATCCTTATAGATTTTTAAGTGTATAATACAGTATTGTTATCTATAGGATTCTAATGCACTCTTGATAGAGAACCACTGTGGTAAGATATAAAAGAATCCTTTTATACTTATTTGCTTATTCAAAAAGGAATACTGAAACAGGATTTTAAGGAAATATTTAAAATTAATAGGAGTAGTACATATTTCATATAAAATAAATAATATGGACATATTGAAAGCAAAAAGTCCCTGTTCCATCCCCATATATCCTTCTTAATCATGTGTATATCCTTTTAAATTCTTGTCTATTCAGTTGTGATTAAAATTTTTACTTGCTTTCCCTCATATTTAAATTCACATAGATAATATTTTTTCATTTTCAAGACTCTTGCAGTTTTTTAAAAAATTGGAGATCAAATCCTATTATAATAAAAATTCAAGAAAATCTTTGAATTTTGTTCACCTTTGTATGTTCCTGAAAAGTTACATAAATCAGATTTTTATGAATTATTAATGAAATTTCTATTCTTAAAAAATCCTAAAGTTAAAACGTAAATCTTACAGTATAAAACTTAATATTTTTATTAAATAATGCTCTTCTTTTTCCACATTTGTTAAAAATAATGCAAATTTTTACAGTTACAATTTTGAAGTCCAAGATTATAGCATACCTATTTTAAGTAGAACTTTATACAATAAAATTCTACTACCCCTCCAAAAAAGCACTACTGAGATGTAACATGGGAGCTAGCCTGCAAAAGATTATGGGCATTGTGGGGGCAGACAGCAAAGAAATGGAATGTTCTACTTATTGGCATTTAATAATTTTTTAGCTACACCCATATTTGATTTTGGCTTTATGGTAGACCTTACTAATTTTACTATTGTCCCTTAGTTACTTTGGTACTTAGTAACTAATGACTTGTAGATGATGAAGCTTTTATCAAAATCTACAGGAGATTTAAAAGACATTTTTCATTTCACATCTGTTGCATCTCAGTTTTTTTTTATTTAATGAACAAGAGCTGGGTTTATAGAGGAAGAAAGACTTAGGTTAACTGAATTAACCATGATGAATTAACCATGTTTATGTGTTAAACACAGTTTTATCACCAATGCCATTTTATGAACCCATAGAGTACATGAAGAGAGGCAGTTTACAGATTTTAATATTTTGTTTTTGTGTGTAGACACCAATCAGATCAGCTGGAGGTGGTTTCTCTGAGTAATTATTATACTATCTGCTACAGCAGATGACAGACATCTTTCACACTAAGGAGGTTAGAGGTTTTCTAAGGTGAGTGATTGCAACATGGCTGCACTTAGCTGCTTTTACTCTTTGACACAATAGTGTTCCATTCTGTGTTTAAGGGCAACCTAACCTTGTGTCATAGTTGTCCCCGTGTTAAGAATCTGGGCACATATACTAAAGGGCTTAGTTTTCTTAAAAGTAAAATGAGAATGTTGAAATATATTAGTTTTTAAATCCTTTCTAGTTCTATGGTTGTATAATTATGATTTGTTGAAATTAAACAAATCACACCATACTCACTAGCCTGGGCTCAAGTGTCACTTCCTTCAGGAACTCCTCTAACTCTTAATAAATAACACACATGCTCCTACAGCACCCCATATATCTAGTTTTTATATGTAAATAATAGAAATTTATTGCTTGTAGCTCTAGAGGCTGGAAAGTCCAGGATTAAGGCACCAACAAGTTTGGTGTCCCATGGGGGCTGCTCCTTGCTTTCAAGATGTCACCTCTTACTGCATCCTCATATAGTGGAAGGGGCTAACAGTTTCTCTGCACCTCTTTTATAAGGGCATTAATCCTATTCATGAGGGCTCTGCTCTCATGACTTAATCAGTCCCTAAAGGGCTAACCTCTTAATATTATCATGTTGATGATTAAGCTTCAACAAATGAATTTTGTGGGGGACACATTTGGACCATAGTACCTGGTTACTCTAGGCCTCAGTTTCCTCATCAGTGAACTGGAAATCACAATAATACCCTTTTCTTTAATTG